ATGGGGTTTCCACTGGCTGAAGATATTTATACACATACACATAATATATTGGTAATTCAAAGGAGAGGAGGAGGGGAGTGTGAGGGGAACGGGATGGATATGATCAAACTATGTTATATTCATGTATGAAAATGCCAAATTGAAACCCCAATATCTTCTAAAATTAATATGCACTAAAATATATTTTTAAAAAAGAAAAACAAATGCAGTTGAATCACTGATGTCAAAGGCCTTAGAGCAGTGATGGCAAAACTTTTAGAGCTTTCAATGATACAAACAGCCCGTTGCGGCATTTGTGCCATAGGTTTGCCACCACTGCCTTGGGGCATGTGCTACTGAGAGAAAATTTTGAAAAAAAGTTTTAGTGAGCCTTAAATAATCACTCTCTAAATTGTTTCAAATTTGGATATTTATTAATGGGGTTCCTTTAAAGAAAGATTTATATTCCCAACCCCAGACATACTGCTAAGTCTTTTACAACCTCTTACTGATTATTTTTGTGGAAAGTTGAATGGATTCTAACAAATATCCAAAAATTACTTGTATATATATATGAGAATGAGTTAAGAAAACCTGAAATTTGTGAAATTTTATTAAAAATAGACAAGATCAGACATTATAATAAAAAAGAAAAGAAGAACTATGATTCATTGAAAAAAGTCACACTATTTGTCTAAAAATGTCTCGATGAAATCTCCCCCCATCAAAACCAAAGGAAATACTTCAAAATCACTAAAATCATTATGGAATTTTACTTTGCTATGAAAGTATATGCATAACAAAAGAGAAAATAGTCTTAAAGAGATAAAGCAATAGGAATATCCCCTTTAGAAGAAATGTAATGGTTCAAAAGTAACATGTGTATGATGTACTATATTTCATTAATTTTAGGATGCATATTTATGTATTTTTTTTCATAGGAATGTTCATTCTTTTTTTTTCCATTTAGTTTATTGGTACATTTTAGACATAAAATACAGTTACATTCATCATTGGGATCTTGTACTTTTACATTTGTATCTTGGTTAGGATGCATATTTATTTAGAATTATTTCACATCTCCAAAATTAGGATGCATCATTTAAAAAATTTGCTGCTTTGTGTATTCTAATCAAAAACATTTCTCTTTCTTAATAATATATAAATTAATCAAGTTAACTATTAATCAAAATGATAAATTTCAAAAATCTTTGAAAGGATGATTCTCAGAGATCCTGAAATAATTTTTATTCTTGTTGTTTTATTTACAGCAAGCTAAGCACTGTAACAAATAACCTCTAAGTCTCAGTGGCTAAAACCTGAGCTATTGAGTTATATTCATACTCCATGAAACTCATCTCTAAATGTATAGTTTAGTGAGATTTTAGTATAATCAGAGGTGTGCAACTATTAGTATTACCTAACTTCACTGAGTTTCCATCACCCCTAGAAAAAACCCTGTGCCCAGCAGCATCACTCTCTAATTACCCCCTGCTATTACCCTCTGACAACCACTAATCTTCTTTCTGTTTCTATGGATTTGACTATTTTAGACAATTCTTATAAATGAAATTATAAAATACACAACCTGTTATAACTGGCTTCTTTCCCTTTATATAATGTTTCTGAAGTTCAACCATGATATAGCATGTACTGTTGTACAAGTTTTAGTGTACACATAAGTTCTCAATTCTCTTAAGTATAAACCTAGAAATGAAATTGCGGGTCATGTGTAACATTTTAGGAAGTTGCCAAACTATTTTCAAAAGTGGTTGCACCATTTTACAATCCTCTTAGCAATTCGTGAGGATTCAGAAATCTCTACATCCTTACCAACACTTGGTTGTATCTGTCTTTTTTATTTTAATCACCCAAGTGGGTATAAACTGTTGTCTCATTGAGGTTTTGAAAATCATTTCCCTGACAGCTAATGATATTCAGCATCCTTTCATGTGTTCATCAGTCATTTGTTTATCTTCTGTGGAGAAATGTCTATTTAAATCCCATGTCTATTCAAATCCTATGCTCACTTTTTAGTTGCATTGTTTTCCTTTTCATTGATGTCATGGTACTGCTGTAAAATATTGAAAATTGGGTAATTTATAAACTCACAAAACTTATTTCTCATAGTTGTAGAGACTAGGAAGTACAAAATGAAGGCTCCCGCAGGTTTAGAGTCTGGTGGAGGCCCATTGCTCACAGATGGCTCTATCTAAGTGCCCGCACACGGCACAAATGATGAAAGGGAAAAGAGGGCAGAGGGCGTTTCCTTACCAGGCAGAAGAGCAGGAGTGATCTTGCTCCTTTGAGCTCTTTTTGTAAGGCTCTAGTCCATTCACAAGAGCAGAGATCTCACAGACTAATCACCTGGTAAATGCCCACCTCTTAATATCACCTCAGGGGCATCTAAGTTTCAACATAAATTTGGTGGAGACATATTCAAACTATAACAATTGTTGAGTTATAAAGACTTCACTCCATAGTGTGGGTAGAGTCCTTTATCAAGTCCCTTAATTTATAACCATGTTCATCTACTCCATGGGTTATCTTTTCACTTTTCTTGATGGGGCCCTTTTGAAAACAAAAGTTTTAATTTGGGGGCTGAAGATGTAGCTCAGTAGTACAGCACTTGCCTAGTATGGGTAAGGCTATTGGTTTGATCCTCAACAACACACCCACACAGACACTTTTAGGTTTATGTTTTTATTTTTTAAGACAGGGTCTCACTATATAGCCCAGGCTGGCCTCGAACTCAGGGTAATCTTCCTCAGCCTTCTGAGTACTGGGATTATAGGCTTACACCATCATACTAAGCTACAAACTTTTAGTTTTGTTTAAATGCAATTTACTTTTTCCTTTTGTTCCTTGTACTTTTACATCTCCTTACCTAATGATTACTCCTATGTTTTCTTCTAAGATTTCTATACTATTAGCTCTTAGATTTACAGTTTGAGTCATTTTTCTATGTTGTATGAAATAGTAGTCCAACTTCATTCCTTTCAACCTGGATATAGAGTTATGCTAGTATATTTGTTGCAAAGACTGTTCTTCCTTCATTGAATTGTCTTGACATTTTTATCAAAAATCAATTGAACATTATTGCAAGGGTTTATTGGTGGACTTCCAATTTTGTTCTGTTGATGAACATGTCTATACTCTTGTCAGTGCTATACTCTCTTGGTAAGAGTAGTTTTATAGTAAGTTTTGATATTGGAAAGTGTGAGTCTCCCAAGTTTGGTCTTTTTCAACATTGTTTTGATGGTTAGGCACATTTACCATTAATCTTTCATAATGCAATATCCAGAATTGGAGAGGGAAGGGCAGGTAGGGAAATCAGGTGGAAAAGAAAGTGCCTGTATTGGAAACTAAATGTGAATATGGGTGTTGCAATAAAAATTTTGAAGAGAAAAGCCATTTTTGCTTTTAAAGTAAATTTTCTCTAGAAAATAATGATAATAATCACCATGAAATGAAATATTACAATTATTTTAATTATAAATGAATGGTTTTTAATGACAAAGGCTTTCAGGATACAAAACTTGCTAGTCTTCATCAATTATCTTTAATTTAGTTAAGTAGAAAAAAGCCTTGAATGGGATAATCTAGGGAAAGTTTTTTTCTTCTTTTTCTAAACATTTAACTGCTTTGTTGCAAAATCTTGATTTTTTTATGTTTTGGCACTATAGGGGATTGAACCCAGGGCTTTTACACTGAGATACATCCTCAGCCCATTTTATTTTTTATTTTGAGACAGAATCTAAGTTGCCCAGGCTGAGCTTGACTTGAGATCCACCTGCCTTAGCCTCTGAGAGCTCTGGGATTATAGGCATGCGCTACCGTGCCTACCTCAAATCCTAGTTTCAAAGGATCTTGTGTCCTAAGTGTAATGTGAACTTGATAGCCAATTGAGATAAGGTGACAATGTTTACAGATTAGAAGATATTGATGCCTACAATATTGATATTTCTAAATTTAGGAATGCAAAATAGGAGAATGTATACATGTGTACCTTCAATGCTGATTAGAGGGTTAAAGAAGCTGCTGGTGACCTTTGAAATGATAAAATATCACTTATTTTTCTAATCATTACTCACAGATGTGCCAAAAGGTGGTTGCAACCAACTGGGAACAAGTAATATTAAACAAGCTGGGAGGCTGCACTGACTGGTAGAAAAGGCACACTTGGGTTTCAGAGTTGAGTAGGATTGCCATGGAACTCAAACATTGCCTTCTTACTTGCTTTGTGAACTGCAGAAAGATATTAAACTTCAGCTTCATTACATCTAGAAATTACTGAATAGCTCTTGCAAGATTGCTCTGAAGATTAAGTGATTAAATGTGGCAAGAGATGTATGATAATATGCCCAGAAAAATACCTGCCATGGAGCAGGCTGGCAATTAATCTCAGTTTCTTTTTTTCCCAATACCAACAAATGGACAAATGATGAAAATGATCACACAAATAATATGGTAACTGAATTGTTATGATAAATTTGATATTATTTCCCATGAAATCTTATTGTTTTTAATAAAGAATATCTATCAAGTAAGATTCACTAAACACAATAATATTTTTATCTTTCTGAAGAATTTTCCTTTAAATAAACAAGTCATTAAAAAACAAGAAAACCTTTTCTATCAGCTCAATTCTTTTGCCAGTCCTAATTGTTAGAAAAATCGCATTTCTTCAACCCTATAGAAATCTATGAACACTGTGTATTTGACAATCAAGCTTCAGGTTCACATCAGGAAGTGGGACAAGCAGAAAACAGGAAGCTAAATTCGAGCAAAAGTACTCATCCTGGTCACCCGGCTGAGGAAAAAGGTCCAGCCTGTGCATCCAAAGTCAAGTCTATGGTGGAAGGCCAAATGCCTCTGACTTGAAATTATCATGTATACTGCACAAAGGAATTTGGGGTTTGTTCACAACTGTTTCTGTGACATCACAACAGTACCTGGCACACAGCAAGTACTCAATAAGTATCTGTGGGATGGATGCATACATGAGCAAGCCACAACAAGTAGTATTTGGCCCAGTCATTTTCAAACATATTTTAGCTGTGGGTTCTTTGTTCAAAGTAGTCAGCGTACACGTAATACAACATGCAAGAGAAGATCCTCTGGTCCAGGTGAAGCTGAAGGTCTGTACCCCGAGATCTCTAGACCCTCTAGACCCTACAGAGGAACGTGGCTGAGAACTCCTGATCTTGCCCATCCCCTCATTTCAGAAAAGAATCAGTCAGGCCCATGGAGGAATAGAACTTGGCCAGTGCTACACAATGGGGCCTAAAAGTTCACTCTTGACCTTGGGAGTCTCTATGGCAGCGAGAAAAAAGAAGCACTCCATGACCAGGGAACACTGCATCACCAGGAGGGCATGTAGACTCCCTCAGGCCATCCAGGTGGCCTCAGAGCTGAGCTGGCATCAGTTGCTTATCCAGTTTTTAGAAATGCAACTCATCCTATGGTGCAATAAAGGGCTTCAACAGTCACTGAGGACTCTCTTACAGCAAGACTATGTGTCTGGGCTGTAATCTCATGACCTTCCAGCTCTTCATAAGGAAATGGGTTGTAAATTTATGCATCCTAAAATTGTCTCTAAAAAACGAAGTGACTGTAGATTCTTTGGAGTCTATTTGTCTCAGATAAGTGGATAGAATTTTAGAGCTGAATTTGGAGGTGTGTACGATAACCCCAGTATCATTTCAGATCAGAGATCTTATGGGCATCCAGCCAATATCATTCATTGGTGCTAAGTATGGAAGAGACATTGCAACCAGTGCTCTTTCCCCCTGGGCCCTCATACATGCATGGGTTCTGCCCTGCTGTTCTGCTCACTCTTCTTCCAATCCTACTCCCTAGATGGAAACTGAGGATCTGCACCTCTGAGGGCCTACACCCAGTACCTTCTCTTCATCCTCCATCTTGGAAGCAAGAGACCATCCTATCCATGGGATACGGCTCAGGAAGTCCACCCATTCCTTTGAGCCGGGCACTGACAACTCCCTCTTCAGTCTCTGCTACCATCTCTAACTTCTCTTCTCCCTAATTTTCTACTACATGAGAGGTAGAGAAAGAGGGACATTACAAAATCAAAGAGCTGACATACTGTGCAACTGAATGCTAGCTGCCAAAGCCATTCTTCATTCTCACAGTTCTGGATAAAATATGACCTGTTAATGAGCGCACAGTAATAACAACAACATCTTAACAAGTTGTGTGAAGACATCACCAAGTACCTGGGAGAGTTCCATCACTGGCAGATATTACTCTGTTTTGGGGGCTTTGAGCCTGCAGTTCTTGCTGTTCTTCCAATCGGCCTAAAGAGGGAGCTGTTTCCCTAGAATGCTCCAGAGAGGGGCTGCCAGCCAGCCCGAGGGTTTGCGGACCTCAGCCGCAGCCTGCTCCCGCACTAGGCTATGCATAAACTTCTGGTGTCAACAAACAACTCAAGTTGCACTTTTCTCGTCTTTAAAAATAAAATTATGTCCACTAAACTGACGTAAGTTCTAGATGCAGTAGATTGATTGGAGTCAAGAAAGTTGGATTCTTGTCCCTCCTGCATAATGTTAAGGATGTGTCCTTGGGCAAATTGTTACCAATCAAGCTCAGTGTAGACAGAGTGGGGGGCGCATAGTTCACTGAGTGGTTAAGAGGACCGATTGTGCTCAGAAAGGCATAGTATGATAATAGGGCAAGGTGTGAGCTCTGGGGGCTGAACCATCAGTTTGGTACCCATTACTGGTCCCGACACACTGGCTACATTTCTAACCTCTCCACCTCTAGTTTTGTTTCTAATTTGGGAAGAAGAATAACACTGAACTCATAAGATAATTGTAAAGAGTAATCAAAAAAACATGCAATGGGTTAAATAGGGTCAGTACATGGTAAGCACATAGAAAATGGTAGCTTTTAAAAGAAGTGTATGAGAAATGATCCCAAAATATGGTGAATGTTTACATTTTAGAAATGTTTTACAGTACATGACAAATTGCCATTAATCCCCCTTGCTTCAAACATGCTTATCCCATCCTTCTTGCCACTTTCTGGAGTAGTTCTGGAAGTCCTTTCCCATGAGTATCTTTAGTTGCTCTGTCATGGCTACCTCAATGTCCTGAATAGATTAAAAATGTTTACCTTTCATGGTAATTTTGACTTTGGGGAAGAGACAGAAGTCACATGGTGCCAGGTCCCTGTGACTAGGGTAGATGAGGACATAGATAGTGTTTTTATTTTACAGAAATTACTATAAATGTTTTGAATCAATTCAGGACATCACATACACAGCACACACACACACACACACACACACACACACACACACACACACGCACAAATGCCAAAGAGGACTTCCAGAACTGTTTCAGAACATCACATACACAGCACACACACACACACACACACACACACACACACACACACGCACGCACAAATGCCAAAGAGGACTTCCAGAACTGTTTCAGAAAGTAGCAAGAATGATGGGATAAGTGTGTTTGAAGTGAGGAGGAGCATATTAATGGCAATGTGGCTTCTAGTATAATAATTTTTACAATTAAACATTCTCTGTATTATTTGATCACACCTTCTATAACTACTAAAGGAAAAAATATTTTCAAGTCCTGTCATTTTATGCACAAATAAGGTACATTACTGGTTCTCCCACAAAAGTAAAGTAAAAGATGAGAGGAGAAGAGTTGTGTTTCTAACCTAAATGGGAGCATATTATTTAGACACACCTCTTCAGCGTGTTTCATTGAAGGGAAGGTACCCAGGTTAATTGCATGTGAAAGGGGAAAGCCCACTCTATTCTGTATATCTAGAGGGTGTCACTATTAATACATTTTTTTCTACAATCAGTAATGCTTTCTCCATTTCATGACCAATTATTCATGTAGTAATTCAATAAACAGCTTTCACAACAACATGAACAAGTGCACTACTATAGTCTATAAGAGTGGTGATGAACCTATGGTACACATGCCACAGTGGGCTGTTCATTATGGTTGAAAGCTCTAGGAGGTTCGCCATCACTAGTCTATAGGGACAGAGAAATGAATCCCAAACCCCACCCTCAAGGGATTTGCAGGATAGCTGAGGAAAATTTAAAAACAAATGAACTGTCACAACTGAGAAAGATGGTAAGAATGGGGGCTATGAGAACGCCTTCTGAAGAGGATATTAGCAGCGGGTATCCCAGGAATTCCTAGAAGAAGTGATGAGCTGAATTTTAACAGGGAATGTAGGTTTGCCATTTGAAAGGTAGGGGGGCCATGCTTCAGGCATGAGATCTTCAAATTCCTCATTTGTAAGTGAAGGATTTCAACTAAATTGTTCCTAAAATGGTTCTGAGAGGACAGAGTTGTGGGAAAGAGGAGACAAGAGGCTTCCCTATAATCAGTCCTGCTTGTGGGTCCCTCCTCATCCCTGTAGATATGAGGGAATGTGGCACTCTTGGAGCTGCTGTGTTATAAGAACAGGTTTTGAAAAAAAGGATAAGACTTGATTGTGACACGGTCATGGGTATTTAGAAAAATCTGTTGGAGCTGTTTTTGAAGGAGTGGCTGCAAAGCAATGGGCCACAAGACAGTCAGGTGGGGGCATTGCTGAGCACATGACTAAGACAGCATCAGAGGCAGCTTCGAAGGTAGGTTAGATGAGAAAGCTCACTACAAAGGTGTGTCAGAGGTAGAATAGACAGGACATGATGACTTGATAGAGAACAAAGGGGAGAAGTAAAAGGTAACTCTAGAACCCCAGTGGGCCCATGAGACAATCTCAGAGATTTCTCATCAAGAATTTAATGAATGCCTCCTTAATGCACATAGCATTAATGACTGTCATTCTTCAGGGAGAAATTTGTAATCAAGCAGAGGACTCAAGGCATGGTAACTTCATGTGACTTCCATCTTTGTTTCTGGTTTGCAGTTGTTCTACTGCTAATTCAGAAGGGAGGGAAGACTAGCCCAGTGTTAGTGAACTTTTTAGAGATGAATGCCCAAACTGCAACCCAAAACCCACTTATTTATCACAAAGTGCCAGCACTGTAATTAAACCTGAATATTGAGGTTTTAGTTTAGAAAAAACAACTCACACATTAACATCTTTTGTCTTAAAAGAAAAACAAACAACACTCATGCTACAGGTTCACCACCACTAGACTAGGCCCTAGGAATGACTGAAGCTTTCAGAAGGGAGAGAAAGCACCACTGGAATGCAGCCAGCTTCCCCAGTCATGACACAGCAGGGCACTAAGCAACAAGACTCACTGGCAGTTAAACAATATCCAGCAGAAACCTTGAAAGTGAATGTACCCTTTTGCCCAGAATGTCTGCTGTTTGGAATTTAGACTATGAAAAAAAAATAACTAAGATATACAAGAATGAACTCAAAGATTTACTTCGAGGATGCTCATTGCAAAGTTGTTTATAATTGTGAAAAGCTAGAAACAACTATAATAACAGAAATAGTTCCTGGCTTTAGAGAATCCATGGCTGGGCCTGGCTCTGTAGCTGAGTGATCTCCACAGAAAGGGGGATAGGATAGAGATGTCCTAAGGACCCAGCAAGGCTCCTGAAGCCATGCGCTGACCACCATGCTCTTTTTGAACTGGGAACAGGCACTCCATGAAGCTGTATATCTCAAGAAGCCTGACTGGAACAATTAATAATCTGTCTGGACTCCCCTTGAGACACTGCCTCCCCTTCCCAGAAGGCTTTGCTCCATGTCTGAAACTCAAAGATGTGCTGAGTCACACTGTGCAAATAGCACTGGGGGGTGCAGGGGGAGTCACAAAACTTCAGTTCCTTTCTTCCTTGGATTTTTATTTATGGAGTATGTAGTAGATTCTATTTCCTATGCGAAGCCAGCAAGAGAACATGCTAAGCAAGACATAATCCTTAGTGCATATGGTAGACACTGAAGCTTGCCTACCCAATATCAGTTCTTCCTTTGGCTTTCTAACCAAGCCCTGATAGCATTTTGGATTTCAATATGTTCAATTTCACAAATCTCTCTCCCAGTCTCTCTGTCTTTAGGGATATCCATATAATACCATTTTTACCAAGGAAAGACAAGCGAAAGTCACTAAGTACATCTTCCAGGAAAATTCTGTAAAAGAAGCAGCTTGGTAAGTGACTGCCTTATTATCAATCACACCTACTGATTTTCCAGCCTGGAAGTTGGATATATGGTAAAGGAGCAACTACTTTATGATCACTGGTGAAAAACACGGGAAAAATAGCCATATGATAAAGGTGGTTGAGCAGAAATCTTGAAGGAAACTGGGTCCTTCATGATACTATAGCTGTGGTGACCTTGACTACCTATAAAATTTTCTTAATTAGCCCTTTAATTTGTCCAAGATCATTGATTACTTGGGGTTTTGGTTGCTTACAGCTGAACCCAATCCTGACTGCTGTATGACTCTATGGCCTACAAAGCAGATTTTTAGCAATTGATGTAACCCAATGTAAGGGGCAGTTATATGGACACCACACAGGTGGCCCAAAGGACAGAACGAAAAGTCTGCTCTGGCTGGGGAGGGCACTGCTGGGGAAGGAGGGGCTTGGATGCTTGAGTTGAGTGTTAAAAAAGGAGCTGTTCAACAACCATGAGAGAACAGTTACGGCCTTCCAGGTTGGTGGAGCACATGAGTGAGATAAGAGAACTGAAATAACATGGCACACTCAAGGAACTAGGATGACTTCATTTGCCTAGAGAAGAGGATGTATGTGGGATGAGGTGATGGGTGACGTACAAGACAGTGAGTGCCAGGTCATGAAAAGACTTGTGGGACCTTGGGCAAGTCACTGGACCTGTTCCTGCCACTTCCCTAAGCTGCTAAGGAAAGGAAGAGGTAGCTTCCAGAGAGGAAGAGGTAGCTGTGGGTAGGGGCTCCCTACAAGGGTCCTCTGGGGATCCCTGGCCAGAGGCTCCGCTCCTTTGTGGAAGTTTCCACCGGGAAGGGCCATCTCACCAGCCCCCGGCCCTCTATTTCACACTGCATAGTGTACTGCAAGGACGGCGCTGCTGCTGGCATTTCAGTTTGAACGCTGTGGTGACTCAGAACCAACAGAAGTGTGGACAACTGTTTACTAAGAAGGCAGCCTTTGGTGTGACAAATTAAGAGTGGGCTGATGGATTGTGCAGCGCTCATGAGCTGGGCAGCTTTGAAATAGCACATACCATTGTGCTGGGTAAATGATTCATTGCTTGTTCTGTCTTGCCAGGCAGGGCATCACATGCCCACCCAGTCAGACCCAAAGTCTTCCATGCCAGGGAAAGTGTTTTTCTTCCTGGACTGTGCTTTTAAGTATACTGGGATACTACCCTGCATCCCTTGTGCCTAATAACTTCATTATGTGGGAATACAGCACTTTCTTTAAACTATTCATACTTTTACTTTAGTTAACCTCTTGGAGTCAAAAGACTACAGTCTGTAGAAAGGATCATAAAGTTGAGGAGTCATAGATGAACTTGCAGATCATTAGGCGATCTCAATA